TATCTGTTTAAAAAGGATTAAAAGAATTTCGAGCATCTAATTTAAAAAAAAAAATTACTGTTTTTTGAACGCTTGGTTTGTATTTTTAAAATTTAAATTCTAAATTTGACTCAAACAAAAACTAACTAATTTAAACTTTAAATTTGACTCACTATAAATTATCTTTCTCATTGTGGTAAGAAAAAAAACAAATCATTGTCAGAAAATACAACCATATAATTCTTATCAACTTATATCACATTGTTTTGAAAAGATATAATATTAACAATTTATAGTGAGTCAAACTTATTTCACACCCTTTCCTTTCTGTACATTTTCAACAAACTTATTTCTCAACTAAAACATTTCATATAAATTTGACTCAAACGATTTCAAATTATAGACTTTAAATTTTAATATCTGTTTAAAAGGGATAAAAAGGATTTCGAGCGTCTAATTTAAAAATAAAAAATTTACTGTTTTTTGAACGCTTGGTTTGTATTTTTAAAATTTAAATTCGAAATTTGACTCAAACAAAAATTAAGTAATTTAAACTTTAAATTTTAATATGTATTCAAAAAGAATAAAAAGGATTTTGAGCGCCTAATTTAAAAACAAAAAATTAACTGTTTTTTGAACGCTTGGTTTGTATTTTTAAAATTTAAATTATAAATTTGACTCAACAAAAACTAACTAATTTAAACTTTAAATTTTAATATCTGTTTAAAAAGGATTAAAAGAATTTCGAGCGTCTAATTTAAAAATAAAAATTTTACTATTTTTTGAACGCTTGGTTTGTATTTTTAAAATTTAAATTCTAAAATTGACGCAAACAAAAACTAACTAATTTAAAATTTAAATTTGACTCACTATAAATTATCTTCCTCATTGTGGCAAGGAAAAAAAACAAATTATTGTCAGAAAATATAGTCATATAATTCTTAACAACTTATACCACATGGTTTTGGAAAGACATAATATTAACAATTTATAGTGTGTAAAAACTTATTTCACACCCTTTTCCATCTCTACATTTTCAACAAACTTATTTCTCAACTAAAACATTTCATATAAATTTGACTCGAACCATTTCAAATTTAAACTTTAAATTTTAATATCTGTTTAAAAAGGATAAAAAAGATTTCGAGCGTCTAATTTAAAAACAAAATATTTACTTTTTTTTTGAACGCTTGATTTGTATTTTTAAAATTTAAATTCTAAATTTGACTCAAACAAAAACTAACTAATTTAAACTTTAAATTTGACTCACTGTAAATTATTTTCCTCATTGTGGCAAGGAAAAAACAAATCATTGTCAGAAAATATAAAAGTATAATTCTTAACAACTTATACCACATTGTTTTGGAAAGGCCTAGTGATGTTACTTGGTTCTTTAAACAATGGTGTATTTTATAATGCATTGAAAAAGTTAAGTGCTAACGACACAATTCGTTGAAAAAATAATTATTTATTATTATTTTAAATCGGTTATAATAAATAAAAGTTCATCTCTGAGATAAAATATAAAAACTTAAACGCAACTATAAGAATATTTTTGTGTGAATAAATTTAAAAACCTATTACATGCTGATAGTTAGAAATGACAAACTAGGTTCGACCTGAAGGACCGACTCACCAACCTATTTTTATAATTAAATTAAAATTTCACAATTCTTCTTTTATAATTAAATTCCTAAATCTGTTTTCAATTTTTGTAAATACAAATTTTAAAAATTTTAAATACTAAGGACACAAATTCTTACAAAAAAATAATTATTTATTATTATTTTGTAAATCTGATTGTAATAAATGAAAGTTCATCTCTGCGATAAAATATAAAAATGTAGACGCAACCTATGATGCACGGACACGGACACGGACACTGGACACGGGACACGACACGACACGACACGCCGACACGTTAATTCTAAAAAATGTCATATTTGGACACGTTGGGACACGTTTTGATATTAAATAAAATTTTTAATATATATAATATGATTTATATTTAATACATATAAGAATCCATAATAAGTCATATAACCAATTAAATATTTAAATTTTATTACATAAATATAAATATAAATAATTTTTCGTAGTTTGTTAATTTTTAATGTCAAATTTTATAACAGAAAAAAATTAATTTATGAATTATTTCTTTTATATTTAGTTAAAAAAAAAAATTAAGATTTTAAAAAAATAAAAAAACAAAAAAATAAATAAAAAAATAAATAAATAAAAAAAAAAAACATGTCCGAGCGTGTCCGAGCGTGTCCCCAAATGTTGATCGCGTGTCCCCAAATATTGACCGCGTGTCGGAACGTGTCGGAGAGTTGACCACGTGTCCTCAAATGTTGACCGCGTGTCGGACGCGTGTCCGAGCGTGTCGGAGCGTGTCCGTGTCGGACACGTGTCCGACACGTAAATTTCCAAAGAAAAAGCGTGTCCGTGCATGGGAGGACGCAACTATAAGAGCCTTTTTTGTGGATAAATATAAAAATATATTACATGCTAATAGTTAATGGTGGTAAACTGGGTTCGGCCCGGATGGCCGACCCACCAACATATTTTTATAATTAAATTAAAATTTCATCCTTCTTTTTTTATAATTAAATTCATAAATCTGATTTTAATTTTTGTAAATACGAATTTATAAAATTCCAAATACTAACGACTCAAATTCTTTCAAAAAATGACTATTTATTATTTTTTAAATGTGATTGTAATAAATGAAAGTGCATATTTGAGATAAAATATAAAAACCTAAATGCGGCTATAAGAACTTTTTTTGGATAAATATAAAAACATATTACATGCTGATAGTTAGAGGTGGTAAATTGAGCTAGACCCCGAGGGCTGACCCACCAACTTATTTTTGTAACTAAATTAAAATTTCATACTTCCTCTTTTATAATTAAATTTCTAAATTTGATTTCAATTTTTGTAAATACAAATTTGTAAAATTCAAAATACTAAGGAAACAAATCCTTACAAAAAAAATAATTATTTATTATTATTTTGTAATTCTGATTGTTATAAATGAATAATCATCTCTGAGATAAAATATAAAAACCTTGTGTAAAATATTCAGATTAAATATGATGCATTAAATATATGTTTATATATATAATGAGTTCGCTTTTTCTGCAGTTACTGCAGATAAGTTATCTGCAGTAAGTCCAATACGACGTCGTTTTGGGGCAGAAATTATGATGTTTTTGTAATTTTAATTTATTTTAGGGTTATAATAATTTTTATATTTATAATTTTTTAAGATTTCAATACCAAAATGACGTCGTTTTGGGAATAAATACAGATAAGTTATCTGCATTAACTGTAGAAACATTTTTCCCATATATATATTGTGAACAATTATTTATACTTATGTAATTAAGCAAATGAATGGTCTTTTCATATTACCACATTTAACTTCAACTATAAAATGTTTGTTATAATATTAAACGTACTAACTCAAATATTTTTGAACTCTTCATCTAATATATATGGTACAACTACAGAAAAAATAGATACATAGTAATCTAGATGTAAGTATAAGAACCTTTTTTATATGGATAAATACGAAAACCTATTATAAGTTGATAGAAAATGTTGACAATTAGATGTGGCAAAATGAGCTCGCGCGAAAATGTTTTCCCGCTCATATCTACTGTCTAACAAACCCGTCTTTCTATGGTTAAGATAATTAGATTTACTGCTGCAAATATTTCAGAAACAAACATCTAAATAAAATGAACAATCATATTGTGATAAATAAAAGTGCATCTAAACAATATGAACAATGAGCATAACATTTTATTTTTTTCTTCATGTATATTAATTGATTTCATTTTGTATACGGCTGAAACAATAAGACGAGATCATATTGAATAATAATACAAAGGATAAGGTTCATCGGTGGTTATATTTAAAGAATGAATTATTAAGTACATAACTATATCTGCTTTATATAACAATCAACGCCCATGAGTTGCAAATTTGTTTGTGGTTGATATTTATAAGTTCCGTGTGAATGCTATATCCTTTTAAAGTTCAAAAATAGCACAAAATAGCAAGATAATTCTTTTTTATTTCACATAATTCTCTAGTAACATGTTTACTTTTTTATTTGTTGTTCCTTCATGTTTATACCTCCACCATAGTACCGTTCAAAGCTTGATAACAAGATGGTGTTGATTTACCGGTGCGACGATTAACCAACGACGGCAACAACGATTTCGTTCTTTTTTCTCCGGGCATCGCACGAGTAATTCACTAGTATTGATATATGAGAGAGGTTATACTTTCTACCTCTTTTTCTTACTACCAAATCTTAACTGTTGATTTCCGTCAATCTAACGGTTATAATTTATTGAAAATAATAATTAATTAATAAGTATGACCCAATAAATTACAACCGTTAGATTGACGGAAATCAACAGTTAAGATTTGGTAGTAAGAGATAATAAAAAAAAGTAGTAACTATAACCTTTCCCTTGGTATATATTATGTCTTTAATTTTTATGTAAATTATCACAGTAAATTTTACACAACAAATTTTGTACAATAAAAATTTATATGTTATATAATTTTTTTATAATATTTTATACAAATGGTAGGATATTGTAATAACCAACTAGTGTTACTACTAATGTTACTACCAATCAATTTCACCGTTAGATCGTTATGTTGATCCAATGATTATATTTATTTCCTTCTTTTTATGATTATGATTCCCGAAAACATTAAATATAGAAAATCATAACCATACGAAGATGAAAATAGATATAAAATATTAAATATGAGAAGTCATAACCATACAAAGATGGAAATAAATATAACCCACCGTTGGATCAACATAACGATCTAACGATGATATTGATTGATAATAACATTGATAATAATACTAGTTGGTGGTTACGGTATCTTCCCTTTGTACAATATATACCTATTGTCTAACTATTGGTATAAAATCATTGAAAATAAATACTGCTACTAAAAAAAGAAAAATCATTGAAAATACATGTTAATTTAAATTCTATTGTAGAGACTCTCTGTCCCTCCGCAAGTGCAAGAAATGGAACCCTTGTCTTCGTCTTCATCGGCGATAGCACAGCAAACATGGGAGCTGGAGAACAACATCATCCCAATGGACACTCCGGCTGCCTCCGCCGCCGACGACTCCATCTTCTACTACGACGAGGCAGGGCAGAACGAGTTTCAGCGTGACAAGCCATGGGCGAACGACCCACACTACTTCAAGCGCGTGAAGATCTCCGCACTGGCACTCCTGAAGATGGTGGTTCACGCTCGCTCCGGCGGCACCATCGAGGTGATGGGGCTGATGCAGGGAAAGACCGACGCCGATGCCATCATCGTCATGGATGCCTTCGCTTTGCCCGTTGAAGGCACCGAAACCCGCGTCAATGCCCAAGCCGATGCATATGAGTACATGGTTGATTATTCTCAAACCAACAAGCAGGTTTGCTAAAACCCTAACCCTAATCCCAATTGGAGAAACCCTAACCCCAATTATAGCTGGTTGGTTTGAACTCATTCTTGGTTTGGTTTGGTTTGGTGTAGGCAGGACGGTTAGAAAATGTTGTGGGATGGTATCATTCTCATCCTGGTTATGGGTGCTGGCTTTCGGGCATTGATGTTTCAACCCAGATGCTGAATCAGCAATTTCAGGAACCCTTTCTTGCGGTTGTTATTGACCCTACAAGGACTGTTTCTGCTGGAAAAGTTGAGATTGGTGCTTTCAGGACTTACCCTGAAGGTTATAAGCCTTCAGATGAGCCTATTTCTGAGTATCAGACCATCCCTCTTAACAAGATTGAAGATTTTGGTGTCCACTGTAAACAGGTCATTCTTCTTTCCAGAACAGTTGTTCCATTTTTATTTTATTTTATTTTTAAAAAAGAAATTGGGTTTCAACATCATTTGTGTGCATTTGCAGTATTATGCATTGGACATCACTTACTTTAAGTCTTCTCTGGATTCACACCTCTTGGATTTGTTATGGAACAAATATTGGGTGAATACACTGTCATCTTCTCCTCTGTTGGGTAATGGAGACTACGTTGCTGGACAAATCTCAGATTTAGGTACTGTTCAGTGGCTTTCTTTTTACTGCAATATATATTTTTTGTTTCGGTTTTTCCACTTGTCATGATAGACTAGTGGACTAGGATGGTTCCACGTTTCTCTTATAAAATTTCCTATCATTGTTATTATTAAAAGTAACAGAGTATCTCAATTCGAAAATTCCTTTATTGCAGCTGAAAAGCTAGAACAAGCAGAGAATCAGTTGGCTCACTCACGCTTTGGGCCACTAATAGCACCCGCTCCTAGAAAGAAAGAAGTGAGTAACTATTGCTTTATAAATCTACAATAATTTCTTTCTTTCATTTATTTGAATATTTGTATTGAGTGTTTCCTTTGGATTATTGAAATGTTTCATCTTGTTAGTTTGATCTCAAGGACAGCATAACTTCTTGATAATCGAAACCTTGCTGTGTGTTTATCTATCGTTGTCTAGTTCATGCTATAGGGAAATTTAGATATACATCTACTCATTGAAATTCTGAGCCTTTTTCTGAAGGTCAGGCATTGGAATCCATGATCAGTATACCACGTTGTGCTTGCTTGTTTATTAGTGATTTACACCTCTAATTGTTCCATTCTATTTTTCTTTCAATTTTTTATGATACGGAAGTGTCAGTAAAGGGCTTTTTTTGCATCTACACTACCTCAATATTCTGTAACTCCATTTCCAATCTACTCCTACTGTAATTGTCATGTCTTGCACCTTTAAATGGAAAGATATATACAGCCCGGAGGAATGGCAGCCCATGTGATCCCTGCATGTTGGATTTTGTTACGTAGGAAACTTCTGGGCAGCAAAAATCTGGGCCCCTTAGCATTTCTCCCTTTAAATAACTTCATTATGTTCATAATAGGGAAAAGTCTAAAAAATTGTAGGAAACAGACTTAGAGGCAAATACTGGATGAATTAACAAGAATCATTGTAATAGCTTCGTATATGGTTTTGTAAAGGCTACCTCTGCCAAGATTCCTCATGCCATGTCATAAAATTAGACCCCATATTCCAAATTTAAAGTTTTCTTCCAACCTCCTGATTATGTATGATAGTACTTACTGAAGTGATTGGGTGACAGGATTGCCCTTCAGATGGATATATATTGCTATTTTCTGATATGTTGTAAAGTAAAATGACTTTATCTAGTATATTTGCTGAGATAGTAATTTTGAAATATGCGTAGGTTTCTGTGGAATGGAAGTGCTTATGTGTATTAGAAATCAGACACCAATATGATAGGTATAACCGTGTAAGCCTGATGAAGGGCCTGCATTAGGATAGGAGAGATGTACATTGTGGGTTAATGTAATGTAATGTATGCCCTAAATGGATTTGGTCACATTGTGGGTTTATAGCTTAATAGCTATATGTCATCATCAAGATGTACATGCATGCAAGAGCCCCCCCCCCCCCCCTCTTTTCATTTTTTTTTGGGTTCATATTTGTTTTGCATTAGATGATTGAATGTAGTGCCAGTTACCTTTGGTATGTTTATGAACAAAAGATCTCTATAGTATAAACCATTATTGCAATTTGCAAGTGTCTAAAATGTAATTTAAGGATTGTTCAGTAAGTATAAGTAGCTTTTTCTCTTAGATAAAAGAGCATAAATATAATTAATCGAAATCAAAATGTATGAACTTTGACATAGTGTTGTTTACACATAAATTGGTAACTTTATAGCTTCCTCTGTCCTTACCTGGCATAATACACGCTTTACTAACTCAGATGCCAATAATTTAGAACATTCAGAATCATGCTAACAACATGTTACCTTGTCTCAAAATAAAGTGAAACTCCTTTATTTGTGTTTATTTTTGGAGTAGCGGTTTAAAATGTGGGCATTGGCCAACTCAGCTGGTAAAGTTGTTTGCTACTTTCTTTCATTAATCAAATCTATGACAACAAAAGATTAGGACAGGACCTGGATGTTGGACACATGGATGTTTGAGCCTGTTGGACTAACTGCTGCATCTGACCTAAGAATTTGTTTTCCCATTATGTGTTGTTGTTTACAAGAGGATTCCAAAACACCCTTATCCCATATTCACTTTGTTGTCAATATTCCAATTATACTTCATAATTATAAAAAAAAAACAGAATCACAATTGCCCTAAGTTCTAATGTTCACCTTTCCCTTTTAAATGTGTTGTTCTTCACAGTATATATGTATGTGTGTATATCCCTGGCAATATTGGATATATGCATTTCTGCATTAGTTTTTATCCACTGGGGCCCTGTTTCTATTTGGCTGAGTCATAAATATGTCAAATGTATTGATTACTGGAGTACTTAATTGTGCTTGGTGCCTGATTAATTTTTTCTGAGGACAAATGAATTTCTGCTGGTTTAATTTGTAATTTGGTTTCCCCATGGCATCTTAGATTTACTTAGTCAATTTACTGTTATAATACAGCAAACCTTGCTAGTATGCATACTGATATATTCATCGCTCACCATTATATTTGTTTCATATTATTCTGTCATTATAAACTTTGTGAGCACCCATGAATACCACTCAATGAAGATGTTAATATCCTCTCCCTACTCCCCCTCGAATTTTCCTCCTTGCATACCTGAAGCAGACATCTTAATGATTTGCAGGAAGAATCTCCACTTGCTAAGATTACTCGTGATAGTGCAAAAATAACCGTGGAGCAAGTGCATGGGCTAATGTCACAGGTGACTTTCACTGCCACCCCCCTTTTTATTATATTATTCTTTGCAAGACGGCTGAAATATAATGTTAATTTCTTCTATGTAGGTAATCAAGGACATTCTGTTCAACTCCGTTCATCAAGCAAACAGGTCTCGCCCCGAAACATCTGACCCTGAACCAATGATTGAAAGCTGATTTTGGCATCTACTAGACGTGCATTTATATATTCTTTTTTTTTTTTTGGTGTGTGTGGTCATTATCGGCCAACCGGTTTACACTTAACAGTTGGATAGCAAATCTAGTTTTGCATTTTGCCTCTGTAGTATATTCTTGTTTTATTTTACAAGAATACGCTTGTACTATCAAGCAGGCAATCGACATCACAGACTCAATTCATCTAACAGAAACTAAACGGCTGGCCTGAGCAAAAGTTAACGTATACAATTGTCTGTTGGTTATTGCTTGAATACTTCTTACTACTCGTGGTGCACTTCTAAGTAAAGTTTCTCGTAGTTTATGTACGGGCAGTACAAACCATGAATTGCTCTGAGTTTATTGATTGATTGCAGCCTTTGAATCTAATGCTGAATGTGTCCAAACAAATTGGTCTGAATAATGTTTTTGGTGTAGCATCCATCTTTTTAAAAATAATTTTGGTATATAAATTTAGGGTTAATAACTTCTCCTTTCATAGGAGAAGTTTTTTTTGTTTCTGCAGAGTGAATACAAGATGGGATTCATAGTTCTTTTTTTAAAAAAAAAAACAAAAAAACAAAGGGCAGCTATCGATGTGAGGGTATGAAAAAAAAAACTTCTGGAAGTAGAAGTTATTAACCCACAAATTTAATTGTAATTTCGTGTGCAAACTATTGCAAAGAAAGATACTTTAGTGTTTAATTAATATTAAACATTATTGTAAAATTCGAAAGGTAATTTTTTGTTGACCTCTTTTAAAAAGTAAAAAAATAAGATATTTGAAAAGATAACACAATATAAAAGGATATATTTATTGAGGTGAGTTATATTTACAAATTAAATTGTTTATAAACGTTTACAATTAAATTTTAACTTTTGATTTTTGTCAATCTAACTTGGGTTATATTTATAATTAATTATTAATTTCAATAAATTATAATTGTTAGATTGACGAAAATCAAAAATTAAGATTTGATCGTAAGAGTTTGTAAATAATTTAATTTGTAAATATAACTCTTTTCATATTTATTAGGGTTTGTAGGAGATAAAATTATCTTTTATATATATATATATATATATATATATATATAAATGTGTGAGATTCATGTGTGTAGGATATAATTTATTTTATCTTTTATAATATAACAGAAATTAAATTCTATTTATTATTATTAAATAGAAGCGAACTTCTTAAAATCTAGAGTCTATTGCTCAGTGGGCCAGTGACATTCGCTACCAATTCAAGACCACAAGCTACTAGACAGTTATGCTGAGGGCACTGACACAATTTGGGTAACAAGTATTACTATTATGTCACAAAAAAGGTTAAAAAATAAGACACGAACTAGTAACACATTAGCATAGATTAACAGTGGAGATGACTTACAAGGGTGGAAGAAGACCAAGATAGGGAACAGTACATACAAGTATACTTATATTTAACGCTTCTATTGGGGAATAACAATTGAAACTAGACTATGAAACACCTTAGACAGCAGTGAAGAAATTGAATACGTATCATGTTATGTAAGAATGGGTGGCTGATACAAAAACAAGAAAAACTGGATGGCTCTGAGGGAAGGTAGGTTCTAGCCTTTTTGTGTCTGGACATGAATATGCACATAAGGCTATGATTTTGCATGTCCTTTTCTTACGTACATAATTCAGATTATAATCAATTAGATACCCAATAGAAGAGGCCTATAGGAATACGTCCTCTTCGTCTATCTTCCCCATCATTTACCTACCATCAAAGAGCAAAAGGTCTAGTGAAACAGGACTTCCAAATCATCTACTTTATTGCTTTAGTGGAATTTTAGGCTCTAGTGGACTTCGGTGAATTGTCACAGGGATTGCGCTTCGCATGACTCACCCACACACTCGCTGACCCAAATTTTTTTAGGTGAGCATAGTATATATACTATTAACAATTAAATCAATAAAACAAATGATAATAGCTTAGTTGACTTCAGAGAATTGAACAAGTAGAAGTGAGAACATATGTATTTGATTCTTTTCAGTACTATTTTTAGGAGGAATTTAAAGACTTAATTCCGGAACCCGTCCTGAATCAGAGTAGTCACAAAGTAATGCACCGATTGGAATATCTTAAAAAAAAAACAATTAAATCAATAAATAATATATAAAATTAAGCAAATCATACAAATAAAACACTTTCTTAAAAATACCTTTATATATTAATTGTTAATTTAAATATTTTAAGTAAATGTTGTCCATTGTCTAGGAAAGAAATTCTCCACTCTTTTATCTCTCACCGTCAAAGCAACATGTGTTCGATAAGATTCTTAGGGGATAACAAAAAGGGACGTCTTCATTCACAAGCAAATAATGGTCCTCCACTTTATGATGCTCTTGAGCTGTTTGTATGTATGTTACTCTGTGACAACCTCACATGGGACTTAACCCACCTCCACGAGACTCCTCTCATTTCTCTTTCTAGAATCTGTTCATCATAACATGGGGAAGGCTAGCTACTTCCAAGGGCAACTTTCAGAATCCAACAACTTCTCTGCCAAAACACATCATCAAATATTTTTCACTTTGCCAATATTTCTATTTTTCTCATGCGAATCCGTCTTGTGACCACTCTCACGAACTTCACCATCCAAATTGTCTTTTGGGGTTTTCGATAGACATGTCCTACGTACCATTCTTCTCGTGAAAAATCTAACTTTCAGTGTCCAATTTCATATCATAATTCTATCACGACTTCGAGTAGCTTAGCTAACCAAAAAATACATTAAAAAAAACGTTCTGCTTTTTCTTTAAGGAGATGAATTTAGTATTGACACATCATTGTTTCTTATTAAACAAAAATATTATGTGAGCATAGTATATTTAGTCATGTCGTCATTAGTGCTGTCTTTTTTTTTTTTTTCCAATTTCATGTTTGAAACAATTGAAGCAAAAATGTAAAGAATAAATGAAATGTTGGGTTTATTACTTTATCCAATTTTAAGTGATAAATATGATAATATTAATAGATAGCAACGTTAACGTAGCAATAGGGACAATCAGAATTTTAGAATTTAAAGATGGTTGGTTCAGAGAAGTCTCCGCAATCCAATAAGAATTGATGGGTAAGGAGAAGTAATTCGGAGTTATCATTAAGAAAAAAAAGGCCCTGGCCACTTGAGGATGGTTTTTCTACTCCTGTGCGTTATGTTTTATGTCCTTATCAATCACAATGAAACAAAATATGGCGATTTAAAATGTATTTTTTTTTTTTTTTTACCACCAAGAGTTAGATCTTTGCTAAAAATTTGATAGAAAGAGTTTTGCGGTTTTGATGATTTTATTTATTTTGACTGGATTAATTGATTAATTAATGAATTGGTAAAAAAATTTAATTTAATTTTTTTTTCAAATGTCTAATATTTGTCTAATTCCTTCCTTGCCACTTGGGGTGGGGCATTTTCACTATTCGTTGAATACATTCGTCCTGAGCCAGCCAGCATGGAATGGAAGTATATATTTGCAACCTAATCTATAATACCCTTTGTATAAGTCTATTCATGAGAATCTTTGCTCCACTAGGTACACATCTTAAGCATCAATTTTCGGTTAGTGTGTCTATAAAATGGGAGAACTATTATAGCCCAATTCAACTTTTGACACCGATAATAATTATTCCAATAGCATCTCTTATCTCTGCCTTTCTTTCCCGTTCCTTTTTTTTTTTTTTCTGTTCAACTTTATACTCGAGGCGCGTCCATCGCCAATTTGATTTAGTAGGTCAAAAAGACAGAGGCCAAGGAACTTTGTGGGGGTAATGTTAGGATAGCAATAAACAAGGACCACTTTGCAGAATATATACAATGTTAGGGCACAACTGCAAAATTGTTATTGAATTTATAATAGGGTTCGCTTTTTTCCAGCGCAGTAAGCTCAATACGATGTTATTTTGGAGCGGAAATCATGGTGTTTTGTAGTTTTAATTTATTTCAGGATTATTATAGTTTTTATAATTATAATTTTTTAATATTTCAATCCCAAAACAATATTATTTTGAGAGTAAATGCAGATAATTTATATACAGTAACCGCATAAATATTTTATAATATTGAAGTTATGAAGTATGCCATTTTCATTCAATGTCAACCACTGCCGGCTTGAGCTCTCTTATTTGCATATTTAGTTTTATTCTATTGTCACAAGTACCACATCTTGCAAGCATAAATGCTTATTTATCTTTTTTTACCAAAAAAAAATGCTTATTTATCTTCACAATTGTACGGTACTATTTTTATTAAATTTTAGAACACTCTTGAACTGAAATAACTATTATATAAAAAGATTGATGGTTCAATTTCATTAAACTCCAACGTAGGTTGGGTCAAAAGTTAAGATTGAGTTGAAAGTGGACCCACCCGAAGATTAGGTATAGCATAATCTTAATTGCAAATCTAGGCAAAACAAGAAATTGGACTAGTTTAGCAATCGCATTTTAAGAAACTTTCATGCATTGAACAATGGCCCATATTAAAAAAGAAAAATATAATATATATGGCCTTATAAACATATTTTAGCACATCACACAATACGTATTTTCACTTTAATTGTATGTGTTTGTATGAAGTTACTTGCTTAATATTAAAATAGGGAGGTATAAGAATTGGGTATTTGTTTATTGATTGATGCAATTTAAGAAATAGGTATACGTCTTTAAATGTCTTCATGGCCATGCCAGAATTTGCTTTGGAATCCTTTCGAATATATTGTATATGTATTCCACTTATGAATTAGGTACTTAAAATAGTTAGTAGCTTTAGGCCTTGGGTCATTCATCTTTCGAATTAAAATTACAAATATGGCATGGAGGAGTTTGCAGTGTGAATATTTTATTTAAAAAAAAAAGTAAAGTAATTACTAAAGGCATTTAGAATATATGCCCTAAATTTATTAGAATGTTTAATAGGCAGCTACGTTTTGTACTTGGCTGTATGGAGAATAATATATGCATGTGATAACACACACATATATATATATATATATAAGTTCAGGATAATTTTATATCAATCTAATTTATAATTTCAATCTTAACCATTGATCTCACTTAAATCTAATGGCTCTAATTTTTTAATAATGTGATTCATTTGATACAAATGAATCAATGATCAAAGTTAAGTGTAAGAATTCTTATTCTTATACCAGTTTAAGAATATCATGTTGTCACCCTATATATATATATATATATATATATATATATATATATATATATATATATTTTTGTAATTTATAATATACTCTGTTTGCCAAAAGAAATAAGAACACGTGTTCAA